ACGATAGGCTGCCTGTTTGGTTCAGTGTGTGGGAGGATCTTTTCCATCCTTATGAGAAATGGAAAAAAAACAGTAAAGTTTTCACGTAGGTCCTGTGCTTAACAGATTCACGAGGGAGGGAAGCAGAGTGAGAGGGTCTGGCTGCTTTTCACATCAGTAAATAATTGGAAGGTGTCAAAAGTACACCACTGTCAAACGACCTGTGGAATGTGAGGTGCATCCCTTTTTCCCTTGGCCACTGGATAGTAACTTTGTTTACAGAGCTGAGCAGGGATGAATATTTAATTACTGTTGACTGAGGAAAATGAGCCGCTCAGTCAACACAAGAGCCTGAAAAGCTCTTCCCTGCAAGGGTTACTTCAGTGAAAGAAAGTTGAAACTGCCTTTTCACAGTAACCATACCGATCCCATCTGAAGAGTCTAGTATGGGTTGTCACAGAACCATCGGTTGTTGAAGCAAGCAAGAGAAGGAGCCAGCCAAGATAAGAAACATTGGTGAACAACCTGCAGTTCACAGCCCAACAGCAAAGCATGGATTCTCTTCATGGGTTCTTTGGGGTTAACAAGCTGTGGTTTGTTAGCACAGCTGGCTTCAGACACCAAGATGATCCACAGTTCAACAACAGCCCAGACTTAACCCTTGACTGTGGGTTTTCATATTGCTTGAACTCAGTAAAGTATCTGTTCATATGTGTGCCTGTATGAGACATTGCATAGAGAAAGCATCGTCTTTCATGATGCTTCCTCCCTCTCTGAAATGGCTGTCATGAGATGAATGCTGCAACTGGGCTCAGAGAACACCTGTTGACACACAGTGTTCTGCATCTGCCCTTCCCATCTCTTTCTCTGCCTCTGGAATTGTCCCCCCTTGCAAATTTCCCTGATTTTGCTACAGGATTCTGTATTTCCTTGCAACAGAATACCTAGCTAAACACAGCAGCATTTAGACTTCTATACTGTCCTTGTACCATGGGAAGATGCTCCTTGAAGCCATGGCAAAAATAGACAGTTTTTAATGGGGGAATCCATTTACTAACTCCGGCACGATCTTTCTGTTTTGCTGTGGCATCAAAATAAAGCCAACTCCACATTAAATGAGTTGGCTGGATATTATCCAATGCAGAGTGATTTGTACACAGAAAATGAGGCAAATGATGAGGAATTATAAATGCATAGTAGAGAGAAAGAGTTGCTAAGGTGGTTATAGGATGTGAATGAGGTAGAAAGGGAGTGAAATCCAGACAGCAGAAGAGAGGATTTATTTGCTGGAGAACTGGAGTTTTCAGGAGTTGTCTGTATAAAGTTCTCTTTCAGCCATGTGGAGGCACATGAAGCAACACTGCCAAAGTTAAGCCACCTTAAATTGCATTCTGGGAGTGCCTTAAGCATCAGTATGGAAGAGAGTTGAACATATTTCTAAGGTCTTCAGACTTAAAGGTGCTGAACTTTAGCAGGATTCTGCTAGTGCATTTAAAACATTCCTTGAAAGGTGCTGCTGCTGCTGCTGCTCCTCCTCCTGAAATACAAAGCAAGCTAGCTCCATGGCTGCCTTAATTAATCGCCTCCTTTCTGTTTCTGGGTCTGTCAAAAGTACCCAGTATGGCTGCAGAAGTTAATGACATTGGATGTGCATGCTGTTTTGAAGCAAGAGACATCAATCGTATTGAAAATTATTTCAGTTTTTTAAATTACCATGAACTGCCCTTTTTTTGCATTTATTTTCTTTTAATCACAGAAGCCATCAAATTTATTTATGCCAACAGTCGCTGCTCCTTTTAGCATTACAGATATGTCAAGAAGGGCACGAGAGGCAGAAGTTTAACAAGGCGCCCATGAGCATTTTGGGGCTCTGATGGAAGAATGGCAGAACACTGGATCCAGAGGTTTTACCCCACTGGCAGGAGCATCAGTAATTGGAGTTTGGCTCAGAAAATTATTGCAGGCAGAAGACAATTGAGGATCCTGTGATCTTCACAGATTCTGCCTTCCTTCTGCATTCCCTTGTCCCACCTTTTCCACTGTTGCTATCTTCCTGAGCAGAGTTTTGGAGAACATAGGGGGGTTTAGAGAAAAGGGAAGTTGGTGAAGATCGCCTCCTCCCCTAGTCACTTAGTGAAACTGCTTCACCAAATCAAAAGCCTCTTGCTGATGGAAGGAGCTTCTCCATCTGCAGGCAGCTTTAGCTGGATTCAGCTCAGTCTCTTGACTGAAAGTTGCTGAGATGGAAGAGTCTTTAGAACATCCTGGCCCCATACATCAGAATCTATAGCACTCTACTAAAAGTGGTGATAAAAAATCTTGATAGAGATCCTTGAGGCAAAACACTGAGGGTCACTTAGAAGGACAGGCAAGTTTCCATCAAATCTTGACCAATTCATTACCCGGATATGAAATGGAACAAGGCAGTAATTCTTCTCCAGCAAACAGAGAAAGAGCCTTCAATGAACAAAAGATAAATCGGATCTCCTCCATTGGCAGGTTATATTGCAGTCATTTTGCAAGGTCCCAGTGATCAGTGACCTCTAATCCTAGATGGCCTACTTGAGAAACAAGTTTCAGGGAAGCATTTCTGCAACATAATGCATGCCAGTGACTCACGCAGTGCCAAAGACAAGGCAGGCTCTTGTTTCCAGTAAGAAGTTCCCAGTCCCTGGCTGGGATTTTAAACTTGTGATACCTACCAACTCATCAGGTCACTACTCGCTATTGGGAGCCTTTTATAAAGCAAACTCCAAGGCCTAATAAATGTGTTTTGTGTGTCTGGCACAATTACCACTGGGAATTTGACTGCATGGCAGCTACCCCCCCCCCCCCCCCCGGGGCAGACAAACTGGAGATGACTAAAGCCAAGTTCCCAGCTCAATTCATCAGGACTTGGTAAAGACATTAAAGGAAATGAGCTAAGAAGTCTACATGGAGGTTCTTTTTTTCCTGTGAGTTTATTTTTTCATTTCAGCTTATATATCTCAGTAGGGAAAGCCAGTACTATGATCCATATATTGCAGTACTATAATCCCTATTAGGACTGTATCTATGCCAATGAACCTAGCCCCCCCCCCCCCATATCACTGTTTCGCTAGAACTAAACCTGAACTGTACACAGCTGCTTAACCTGAAGCTCACCATGCAGAGCCCCTGTGGTTTGATCCCTCAACAGCAACTCTGCCCCAGTGAAGGTCATGCATCAGGACTATGAGGAAGCTCTTAAAATGCCATTTAAAATAACTAGTACATTTCTTGATTGTTTGCCTCCTGCTCAAAGTAATAGCTACATGGAACACAGATATTAAATCTCTATCTTTTGTCATAAAAAGCTGCACTTAATCACTTTCTGCCCATCACACAAGTGCCCAAGGAGGAGAGCAAAACAAGGTTGTAGGCATCTTGCCCACTCCTTGTTTCCTTAACCATTTGTTGTTGGAGTGACTAAGGCTGCCATCCTTGCCTGGAAGTGATTTCCATTAACTCATGTGGGTTCCTGAGTAGAGCTTTAGAAGAGCATACTATAAATTGGTTATGATTAATCTGGTTCAAATCAATGGGACAAGTTGAACACCACTAACTTAAGGCCAACTGAAATCCATGGGGCTGCACTTCAGTCTGGAACTAATCCAATGATTCTGTTCCAATGCAAGGTATAAGAAAGAACGGAAAGAATAGGGGAAAACAACCTTGTAATTATACTCTTACAACCTTAATGACTGCATCTTGTGGTCCTTCAAAGGGAGGGGTCTCCACACTTTCTGGTTCCCTGGACACATTTGGCATTTTGAGAAAGTGCCTTGGGTACCCCCACAAATTAGGAATGGCAGGTCAATCACAAAAAAGTTGGACGTGCCCCCTTCACTGTGCTTGTACAAGCGCATGAATATGCATCTTGTGTGTGCACTACTCCCTTCTGGTTTCTCTTTCTTGCCCTCCCTCTCCTGCCTTGCCTACCCTACCCTACCCTCCTCTGGCCTGCCTTGTGTGTTCTCTCCCTCCTTCCCCCTTTATTCCCATCCATTCTTCTGGCTGATCTTTCTCTCACCTTCTGGCCCTTCCTTCCTTCTCTCAGAAGGCCCTTCTGACCTTCTCTCTCCCCCCCCCCCCGCCTCTTCTCCTATCCCCATCCTCCTCCCTTTCTCTTTGTGTTTTGTTTTTCTCTTTCTTTCTCTCTATTTGCCATCCATTTGCATGCGATGAAAAAAGGCCGCTTTGCTGAAAATTGACTGGGCAGGGTTAAGGTCACACTCTGCCAAGGACCCTGTTGCCCCAGGGATCTTTGCTGGGAAGGGGACATGACCTGTCCCAGTCACTTTTGGCAGGGAGGGTGTCCCCTCTTCCTGGGCAAGAGAATAGGTGAATTGCTGCATTGACTTGGCTCAAGTTTCAGCCTAGCCCTGCGGGTGTTGTGGTGGCCATAGGCACCATGTTGGAGAGGTGGAGGAGTGATGGAGTGATGGAACTTCGGATTGGCAGCCAGGGCCCACAAGCTAGAGCAAGGAAACCGTCTGGCCATCAACTCTCCAGCCTCGTTCCCAGTACTTTTGCCACACAAGGGCTTTCTTAAGTGATGATGGAAGCAGAGCCGGTGCTAAGCCTTATATACTGTAGTACTAGAGCTGTGTGCAAAGAATAACAGGGCAGGATACTGGAATGGGGCATTAACTGTGGGAAGAAAGACCTCTGTTTGCACTGCTATAGTGTCAGCAGCATTCAAGGATTAGGCTTCCCACAAAAAAGAGATGACTGAAAGGTACAAAAAGCTGCATTCAGAATCTGCAAATGGGCAGCACAGTGCTGAATGGCATTTCTTTTTTGTATTAATGATGGTGGGGACAGAAGCCGGGGGTTACAGTTTCATGATTTTTTTCCAGGACAACAGAGTGTGGTCTCGAGTGACTCTAGAAGTGGAGCAGTTCTTGTGTTGCTTCAGGACAGTGTCTGTGTGGGCACCGCACTGCCCCAATTCTGTCACCCCCATTTTCTCAGTCTCTTGTTTCAATCCTCTCTCCTAGGCAATCACTCTAGCCCAGAATTAAGTCGCCATGGACACTAACATTGCCAAACACCAGCTCAGCGGTGAGTATGTTGTGTGCTGTGCAAACTGCGGCGGAGCATTTTTTGAGGATGTTAATTGCAATTAAATTTTCCTTGCTATACAAAATACATCATGCTGTGCAGGCATTTTCTGGACTCAGCAACCACAGATGGGGTGAAGCAGTTACAGCCCTAAAAGGCGGGCAGGCAGGCAGGTAGGTATCCAGACAGAGTTTGAGGTGCTGTATCTAAAAATGTCACATGGTGAGGATCTACATTTTCTACAGTTTCTACCCTACATTTTCCCAAGTGTTGATACATTCTAAGTGCTAAGGACCAAGCAAGAGGAAATGATGGAGATCTGTGTGAGTGCACTGCCTCAGTTCTGAAATCTCTGCAGCACGTTGCAGGTGAACTGCTGGGCCCCATTCAGAGTGTTAGTATGAGTGTACAAAACCATAAATGGCAAAGCGGCCAGTTATGTAAGGGCCACTTTCCCCAGTACTGACCAGTCTGGGTCTTAAAACTGTTCTCCTGAAGAGTACTACCGGGGTATGACAGCTCGGTCATGGAACTCCCTCCCAAAGATCTATCTGTTCCCTTTGTTGTTTAGGTGCCCCTTGAAAACGCATTTCTTTGTACAGCCTTCTGAGATATAATCAATTATCTGTGTAGTTTTCCTAATGGCTTTATTGTAATGTATTATATATTTGTGCTGGTGATTGTGTTTGGTATTGTGTTTCTGAAAGTAATCCCAGTTTCTCTGTGAGGAGCATGGGATAGGATATTAGGAGGGTGAGTACCAGGAGGAGGGCCTTCTCTGCGGTGGCGCCCCACCTATGGAATGCGCTCCCCAGAGAGGTCCGCCTGGCGCCATCGTTATTTGTTTTTCAGCGCCAGGCCAAGACATTTTTATTTAAATGATATTTTAACTGTTAATTGCTGTTTCTATTTATTGGTTTTATAGTGTTGCCGAAATGCTCCGGATTTTTAATGTCTATTCTATATTTGTTAATTTGTTTTGTAAGCTGCCCCAAGACTTTCTGCAATGGGGGCGGCATAAAAATGCTATAAAATAAATAGATAGATAGAAGTTCAGTAAATAAAATGCACAGGGAGAGCTTAGAGTGAGCTGTGTGGTAAGGTCTGTGGTAAGATGATGAGCAGTGCGAAGCTACAGACATACGTGGTGACCCTGATTTGAGTCAGACTGCTGGTCTGTTTGTTTCCTAAAAAATAATGATGTTCTCCAAACTGGTTTTTAGAGGGTTTTCAAATGAATGTTTGGGAAACAGTATGCAGCATAGTTTTATGGGTTACCTGGTCTTCTTGAAAGTACGCATTCTTTGAAATTGGCCCAAGAATATCTGGATACAAGAAGAGACTTGGCTGTATGGGGAAGTTGCTTGTTAGCTTGATTCAACAAACTCTCTTACTGTCAGCCTCTTATAGATCACAGTTTCTGTGTTGGCTGGTGAGATGTTCACATTTATCTTAATTAAGCAGAAGCAATTTTCTGTGTCAGTATGAAATACATAGCATGAAGCTGAAATCTTGGCCATATATCTTTCTTGAAAAGATGACTGCAGTGCCAGGCTGGTGAACAGGCTGCTTGGTTAAATATGAAAACAGAATATTTGAAAAACAAATAAGTCAAAATACCAAAGATTGTTCACTTTGCTCCCTCCTGACTGAACAAAAACACAATGAAAGAAACACATGCTAATATTCATTAGGAAGGGGAAAATTGATTTTAAAAGCCAGGGATATCTGAGGTTAAAGAAGGAAAAAGAGTCCTGAGAAAGAGCAGTAGGTGATTATAAATAACAGGAGCTGAATATTAAGGAATTCTTCAGCAAAAGCTTTTTCATATAAAGAAAGATAAAAAGGTAAGAACAAGATAATGGTCCTTTTTCTACATCTAAGAAGTTACATCAGTGAGCTCTAAGAAAGAGTTTTGTTGCTATTATGGCAAAGATCCAGTTATGTCAGATGACCACAGTTCTTCTTAAGTATTTGACCAAACAATGATGCTGTAGTGCAGCTCTATAAAGATGGGAGTCATGTGGTTGTCAGTGCAAATCAATCTGTAATTTTCAGTGGAAAAAATGATCTTTACAAGGGCAAGGGTGGGGAAATTAAAGATGACCCGGCCTAAGACTCGCAGTTTCATTCTGAGCCCAGCATTGCTAATCCATCAAAGGAAATTCCACACAGAAGGTTAGTCACAGAATGTTCCTGTAATATTCAGATATACTGTGGTGTGTGCTGGGCTCCCTCTCAAACACTCTTGTTTTCTTTCAGTCATAAAAAATCCACCTGGATGGGAAGTAGGTGTCTATATTACTGGTGCACTGGTTCTGCTGGGAATAGCTGGAGTGAACTTGTGGAAGCTTTGGAAATCGGGCAGCTATCCCACACCATCTCCATTCCCAAATTATGACTACCGATACCTCGAGCAAAAGTATGGGACTACATATTATCAGATCAAGCAAAAGGTAAAGAGCAGTTGACTGTAATACTACTGAGAAACCCACCAATTGCCGCATTCGCCCAAGCATGATCCAGAGCTCCATGTCCAAGCATGATCCATGTCTAAGCATGATCCAGAGCTCCCTCTTGAGTTCAGCCTGTATATTCCAGTGTAAGAGAATTAAAGCACAGTCCGAAATACGTTCAGACAAAAAGAAATCAAGCCCCAGAATTCCCAAGATGTCCCAGCCAGCATGAGAATTGTAGGACTTTTTTCTGTCTAATTGTGCATAGTTTTTAGGTTATAGAAGAAAATGTTTTGGATGCTTAAAGCATGAGCAGACAGAATCTTGCTCCAGTGGATATGCCGACACAGGAGAGGTGACCAAGGAAAGGCAGTGAAATAAAGACAGGGTAACTGGGAAGAATATACAGTTATTTCAGTTGATAGAAAAATAAAGCAGGGCTTTCAGTGGAAATCTAAGAGAGCAGGCTGACATTGTTTATATATACATATTTCCCCAAGGGGTGAGGTGTGACAGCTGTACAGTGCCTGGCCAGATTTGCTTTATTCAGCAGGAGAGGTGACTGGAGACCTAAGGCATTTCTGTAATATTTCAGTTTATTTACAAGTGTACATGGTTGAGCATAGGTAGAGGGGCACATCTGCAATCCTACATCCTCTAGAGAGAGGTGTGCCCCAGAAGGAGCTAGCTTCCTCTCTTGCTTTCTTCCCTTCCAGATCCTTTTTACAGACACACACAGACCAAGAGTCAGGAAGGGAGAAAAGAATGCCTTTATTTGGAACAGAATAATCTGGGATTTTCCTTTTACCTAGTTATTGAGGGAATGTCTGCTGGTCACATATTATTTCATTTATTATTGTTGCTGTAGCTCTTGTTCTATCCTGCCTTCTTTCCTCTTGTAAAGAGCTCTTGTCAGCTTACTGGTCATTGTCTTCGCCATTTTATCCACATAACAACGCTGTGAGGTAGGTTTAGCTGAGTGTGAATGATTGGCACAAAGCCACCCAGTAAGCTTCATGGACAAGAGGAGAGGAGAACCCAGCTGTCCTGTGTCCCTCTCCCATAATCTAACCACCATGGCTACACTGGCTTTCAGTGTCATTCACAGTGTTGCGGTATGATTCCCACTATCCCACATCCAGTGACCATGGTGACTGGGGATGGTGGGAGCTTTAGACTGATACATTTGGAGAACAGATAGTTCTGTTAACACTGGGCTTGAACAGTTTCGATCAGTCTTTTTTCCCTTCTGGCCCCATCAACCCTCTCCTGTCCATACTGGCAACACCACAAAGTGGTGCTCCCCGACTACAGTCAGAGCATGAGCTGGCTGTGCTGCGTCTGTGCCTGGCTTCTGTGAAATGACCTGATGGGTGTAGAGGGATTTCTGCTGGGTGCCTCTTCAGGAAGATATGCACCAATTGCTAACGTCCCTGGTCTTGATCAAGGATGTATATGGCAGGTGTCTTGAGAGTTCCAGTTCCGAGCGGTTTCTGGGAGCATTTTACCATACGCTCACCGAGTTACTGTGCTGTGGTAATGCTGGAGATGAGGCGCAGGGCGAAGGATCAGAATTACAGTTGCTGGATGTCACAGTCCTGAATCTGCTCATTCAGATCAGGCTTGTTTGTCCAGTCTGTCCATTAAGGCCTGTGAATTGGACTTCACTGCTGGGACTGGAGTCTTCAGAACTTTGCAGTAAACCCCAGTCACAACAAATAGGGCCTGTACAGCTCCCTTGGAGAGCGAGTTCCTTGGAAATGAATGGCAATCCTTCCATTCACTTTAATCCAGGAGGACTTATTTGTCCTATGGGGCTAGGCTGTGTGAGTCCTCCAGGAAGGGATATTTGAGAGTATATCCGACTGCACTTGCTTAATATGGCTTGTTTTCCCCCCTCACTGGCTCGCCTTTTGCCTCATAAATAGGAAGTACCTGACAGGTGTTTATCTGCACAGCCCCTCCACAGGCAGGCGGAGAACACAGAGAGGAAAAGGGTTGCAGCGGAGAGGGAATTGTGCACCATTCTGAAGGCTTCAGCAGGGCTATTAACACCGGCAAACACAGGAAAACTCGAGGCCGCATAAATTGGCTTATTGATCCTCAGTCAGAGTTAATATATTCCCACAGTGGCTGAGGGCTTAATGGCTCAAAGCCACCTTGTTCTAGCCGCCTTGGTAGAAGTAGCCTAGATCATCTGTGTGTGAGAGGGAGAGCCTGGCTGTGCTGGACAGCAGCCCTGACTATTGTAGCTGGTTCAAATACGTGTTTGAATTGATGGCAGAATGAGGTCTGCGGTCTTTGAATCAAAGATCATAATTAAGAAACAGTGGGAAGGGTTGTAGTCAGCAATGGAGCAGATGCTGTGCATGCAGGCGGTCCCAGGTTCGATCTTTGGCAGCTCCATGTAGGGCTGCAGAGATGCTGCCAGTCAGGGTACCGCATTTGATGGACCAATGGAGTGAGTCCTAACAAGGCAGCTTCCTAGGGATGCATTGCTCAAGGGACAGACTGCCCACAGGATCCTTTGGATTCATATCTCAAAGTGGGGTTCCCAAGTATTTTGGGTCAGTGGACACTTTTGAGATGTTGGGAGGGGGTTGTGGGTGTTCTCTGAAGATGCCTGCCATAGGGTGCTTTTCCCTAGAGAAAACAGCTGTCATAGTGAGCATGGCTGCTCAAAAAACATAAAAAACAGGAAGAGTATGGCGCCTGGTGGGCAGCGAGAAAGATGTTTCTGGGCAGGTTGGTGCCCATATGAGAGACTACAGGTTTTTTAAGTGTTGCACACTGATTTTTATTTATTTATTTATTTATTTTTGTGCAGTTGGGTATTGCGAAAACACCCTTTCCCTTTTATTCCAGCTTGATTTTTCCCTCCTATAGTCCTAGGTGCTGCTTAAGGTCAGGGTCAGGGTCAGGCAAGCTGTTCATGAATCGTATACAGTTTTCTCTCAAGTCATGATAGGATTATGTGCCATCCACCTATGCAATGACTGTTGATAAAACCAAGAAATTAAAGGAAGGAAACAGTTCTGATTCTAAAAGAGGATAAAAAGAAGGGTTCTCTGAAAATGCCAAAAATGTACATATACTGTACATTTAAGAATAAAAACAGGATGGGAAGATAATTCTGGAACAGCTGCTGCATTAAACCAATTATTGCAGGAGAAACAACAGTCTTGTGGCAGTTTAACAACTAGCAAGGGCTTCTTGCTGCAAAAGCGCACACCAGAGTACATTTGCTTTATTTTGTTGTGTGGTGTGCATTGTTCTTCTGGAGCGAGCTGGAGCGCAGAGATAAGCATTTACAGGAAGATGAGTCCAATGATAATTACAGCTACTTTAAAAGAGTCAGACTGCAGGAATTGCCATGAAGACTATGGGATCTTCCATTGGATCTGGGTTATTGCTGGTGTGCGCAACTTATTAAAAGTTAATAATCCTCCTGCCACTGGACCTGCCGGCATGGAGAAAACATTTCTGGTCACCTCCAAATAGTGGTCATAAAAGCCTGAACTGGCACACATCTTGGCCTCAGGTGTTCCCAATTTAGTAAGACACATCTGCAAAATCTCACTTTTAGTCTGTGGTGTTAATTGCCTTCAATTTTCCCTCCCACTGAGGATTTTCCCCCCCTATGAGCTGTAGCATATTTCAATCAGCTTTGTTCTAAATGTTTTCTTTGTACTCTTTAATCAGTTAAACATTGGGACCTGCAAAATCTTCAGTGGGGGGAAGAATTTACTGGTTGGGTGCTCTCTATTTCTTTTATTGCTATGTTCTTAACAGTGCATTTAATGGATTCATATTTATGTTTTGTTTCAATTAAGAGTCTGTTCAATCTGTATTTTGTTACTGTTAGACACACTAGAAATGTTATAAATAAGCAAGCTCACAGTGGTAAATATTTTGAAGCTGAAGTGCATCATCAACTCTGACCAGCTTTCTGTTCTCTCTTGCTGTCTGTAGAGAGCTGCATGCAGCTTCCGAAAAGCAGGAGAAAGGACATCTCCTGTGCGCAAACCGAGTCTGAAAATGGATGACACTTTCGAAAACATTAATGAATTAGGCACTCTGGAGCTGATGAACAAAGAGCTTGAGCTAGCTCCCTATGGGCCCCTGAAAAAATCTGTCTCTACTGACTCCCTGAGTTCGATCTCCTCCATTGGGAATAACTTTGGCCAGGAGTTCATGGTGGGACAAGTGGAAGTCAACATGGAGTACAATGTGAACTCCAACACCCTGCATGTCACACTGCTGCAGGGGAAAGACCTCATGGAGAAGGAAGATGTTAATTTTGAATCCTGCTTTGTACGCATTAGTTTGCTTCCGGATGAACAAATCGTTGGCATTTCTAGGGTAAGTTTCTCCACCATCTTTGCTCGTATGCTTTATACGTTGTGGTGTAGTGCATTATAGGGAGGCTAGTGATGCTTTAGTTTGGCATTTCACCCGGACTTCCAATCATGTGAGGAACGTTTATTCTGGAAGCAGTTACTTAATATTTTGCTGGGTGAGTAGACTTCTTTACTGCTTTGGTCTCTAATATACTCAGTTTCAGAATCAACCTCTAATGTTGAATTGGACTGAACCTCCTTAAGGAAGAATTTGTTTGCATTTTGGCCATGGCAACCTGCATTTCTAGAACTGCAACATGGAAATGTGGCCCCACAGGTCCAGGGGCCAGATCTGGCCTGACTGCAGTCCCCATGTGCCCTTCCAGGGCTCCCCAGATGATGCCACCCTTTTCCATGGGCTCGCCCACCCATGCCCTGCAGCACTGATTGTTTGGTGGTGGTCTGGCTTTTGTTCATCTTTCCCTCATTCAGGAAGATTAGGTGCTTCTTCTGAGGCTTAGATTAATGCTGGTAAGTGTTTTATGGTAAAATAGGCTGATGTATTTTTGTGTTTTGGTTTCATCCTCTTGTTCCTGCCCACTGCTTGAATGGTGCAATGTATGAAGCCACTGAGGGCCTTCTGGAACAGTAGATTGCCAAGTTTCAAACCACCTCAGTTATTACCGTGCTTTTCTTCTGTTTCATTTCTGTCTGCATGTCCATAGTTTTATTACTTCTAACTAGGTAAGTGCTGCAGTTTTTTTTTAATCCCTCTGTTTTCAACTGCTGCATCATGCAATTAGTATGCACTTTCGTTTAGGAAATTTCCAGACTGCAGTTTAAAATTAATTATTTAATCCAAGGTGTTTTTTTTTCTTGGTGACTTGTATTGTCTTTATTTATTTATTAGCTGTCTCTGTATAGGCATCCCATAATGCAAGGTGCTTCGGTGGCTTGCAAAATGATTTAAACTAATGTACTCAGCACATGTCAGTGTCCCGGACTGGGACCTGGGTGGCCAGAGACAAGGCCAGAGCAACAGAGGTTTACCAGGGCAAGAGAACTTCAGACAAGACAGTGTCCAAAATAGAAAGTCCAAATCATAGTCATAGTACAGGAACCAGAGGTCCTGGTCAGGGACCAGAAGAATGCATCAGGGCAGAACAAAGATGTGGTCAGGAACCAGCTAATGGTCAGGAACCTGGAGGACAAGCAGAGGTACAGGTACCATGTACAGGATAACAGGGCAGGAGACATGGCACAGCAGGACACACAAGACAACAGGAACCAGATGCAGCAAGGATCAGGCAAGATGCAGGAGCTCTCAGCAACCCCTGCATTACTGCGGCAACACAGTGAGGCAGGATACGTAGACAAGGTGAGATTAGGTCAAACGAGAGGCAGGCACAACAGCAAGGCAACATGGAAAGGTCATGGAGCAAGAACCATTAGGCAGGATGCAGGCACAGCGGCAAACAAGAGGACTTGTTCTGCTGAGAGAACACAGCAAGGCAGGAGACAGGGCCAGGTGCAGGCACGGCAGCAAAAAGGAGGACCTTTGTTGCGGAGGCCAGTTCTGGAAGGAAGAGTTTGCTCTTGTATAGCTTTTTCCCTTGGTTGCACTAGTCAGTAGACAGAGAGCACTAGCAGGGACTGGGACCGATCCTGCAAATATAGCGGTGGTAGCTCTGGTTATGGCCATCAGAGCAGCCTAGATCCTGACAATGCAGTGCTTAAGGGCACCCAAGTCTCTATTTTTGTTTGCATTACATGAGAAAGGAAACCCAGGGTTATTCACTTGCCATGGCTTGTTTTCAGTTAATGAATTTAATGTAATTCTTAGTTCCAGAATGTGGCTGCTTGTACCTCAAAAACAAATTCTTTGACACTTCAGTGTCTTCTTCATTCCTACAGAATGGATTTAATTGCTCCCATTTAAGTTAAATTGACAGATGGAATCCCAAACCACATTCCAAAGAAGCTTCGATTTTATCATTAGGCTTATCCCCCAATGCCAGAGTTCCATCTGACAAAAGGAAATGCTTTTGTTGTGATTAAGATACACATCTCCAGAATAGAAAGATAACTGTACATATATTGATGGTGCCAATTCATCTATGCCCTCCCCTCCTCCTTAAGGGAATATCCATATCCACTAAAAACAGGCATTTCCTTCGGATTGCAACTTTTGGGCACATTCCTCTTCTCCTCTCTCCCACTCCACCATTGTCCAGGTTTTATATGTGCAGTCACTACATGTTAGTGTACTGACAGCATATCTGACTGCATTCTGTCAGGGTATTGTGAAGAATACAACGTTCCTTGTGTAGTCACCTACAGACGTGGGACCTGGCTTTTGCTTTAGTCCAAACTTACAATTGCAGATCTGTTTCTAAATGTCTGGCATACATTTCCCTGGTGGTAGCTTTACTCTCCCAAAAATCAAGCTGCCAATTTCTGACGTGTAGCCCTGCTTTAAACACATACTTGATCTTCAGCAGTTGAACTGGTACTGATACCACTGTGCTGTGGAAAGGCTACTATTAAAGACACAAGAGCAGATCAGGCTGCTGTTGTTTTAGTTATTCAGCAACCTTTACCACTGTAAATATTTCTAAGTTTGTATATCAGCAGTATTTTTAAACAGTGATTCATTCTGTGCTCCCCAAGAATGAGAAGGTAACAGTTGGGGCATAAAAATGTTGTGGCATATGTTCAGCATATGCACTGTGATTTAGCACACAGTTACTCACAAAAATGATATGTTAATTATTTTAACGATGGAATGAATATGCCAGTTAGTTACTACTAGGAATTCCATGCATACCCTTATCAGACATTAAACTGCTTTTGTGAGTAGACTGCTCTGCAGCAGCAAAGCACCATTGTTTACCTAAATAACCTTTTGGTTATTGGGTGGCATAAAAATTAAATAAATAAATACATATATACATAAAAAGAGCAGAGAGCAAAGAGCTTTTGCTCTAGTGCAGTTCAGATAGTTTCAGCTAAAGGGGGCCTTGGGCCAGGTCTGGGGCAACAAGCTTAGTGGGTAAATAATTAGTGTTTTCTCCCTTTCTCAGAATGGACCTCTTGCATCAGCAGTGACTAAGCAGCAAACTGAGCAGTTTACAGCTCACTTCGGCATTAAACATTTTCTTGCAAGATGCAAGGTTTTGGTATATCAGGTTGTTGAGTTTATTTAGTGGTAGCCAAGTCATCTCTGACAAATCTGAAAAGGTTCCCCTTTTCCCTGCTCTGTATTGCATGCTAGTGGCTTTATATGTTGCTTGCGACGTTCCCAATATATAGCTCACTGAGGAAGATGCTGATGTGAATGCCAGCCACAGTGCTCTCCGTTCCACCAGCAGCTCTATGCTTGTGATCTGTTGCTCTTTCCTACATCCCTGTCCTCCATTTGAAGACTGCAGTGGCTTTGACTGGACTGCAAATGGAATAAAGGCTATGTGAATAAATGGCATTTTTGAACTTGCTGGTATGAGAGCGTTTGGGAGTCTGGATGTAGAAAACATAAGGACAATTACTGGGCTTCAAAAGTATGTGTTTTATTGTTTTAAAAAATGATTGTTTCCCTGCTTCTAATCCTACTGGGGCAACAGGAGGCTGCTTGTTTCACTGCGCAGTTGAAAGACATATTGTAAAATCATATTTCATGCTTGCCGTTCCTTGCAGGCAATGTTCCTTGATGTCTTGTTCTTTATTGGGCTGTGGCAATGAACTGGCTTACCTCCAGGCTGATGAGCAAAGAACTGAAAGCAGCTTTGCAGAATGGGTGAAATTGGCTATATCCAAGCAATTGCTAGGGAAGTGATGGGCAACATGCAGGTTGCACATGACCACCATGGCTCGGCTCGGCTCGGCTCGGCTCCTCCCCTCCTCTCCCCTCCCCTCTCCTCCACTAGGTCCACCCCATCAGTGGATCCCCAGTGATTCTGCTGCAAAACAAGGCATAAAGGCAGTGCGTACTTAGTTTCCTGGCAGAATGACACCTCTTTGATACGGCTGCCAAACAGTAATTCTATTGGGAATTCAACCACAGGACCACTTCTGCCTGTGTCAGGGAGGGATCTGGCCAGCAGCGGTTTCTGGGAGGAGTGCTAATGTGCCTCTCCCCCAACAAAGTAGCCCAGTCCTGGCTGGAGAGCAAGTCCCATTGAGCACAGTGGAACTTGCTCCCAAGTAAACATGGCCAGGATAATGCTGTCAAATGAACAAGCAGCTTGCCTACCCTTCTTAGGTGCCAGCTGCAACATCTTTTGCCACTGAACTCTGCTTTCTCCTTGGGGTTTGTCCAAGCATATTTCATCCTCTGGATCCCATACAGAGTTCCTCATTTTCAGTGCCACAGGAGGACTCATTTCTGTAAAAAGGCAGCTCTGTAGGGGAAGAAAAAAAATGACTTGTGTCTTTTTATTCCTGACTCATTTCAGTCATCATCTTAAAGTAGCTGTTAGAAATGAGCACATCCAGACTGCTTTGCCTTAAAGTTACTTATATGCTGGCGACAGATCATAGGTTTTTATGAGAGCTGAAAATAGTGCCTTGGAGAGCTATCAAGACACACGGTACATCTGTTCAGTCCCCCCACCCTTGTTGCACTGGTCACTGGCAGAATAGGATTTGTAGAGTCCTTTAGTGCTTTGAAACTTTGCAAAACTGGTTCGATGAGCCCCAGAGATGAAGGCCACACAAAGGAAAATAGTGTGTGTGGCACAGGCAATGGCAGCATTACTCTGTCCCCTTTTCATTTGTTCTAAAGCAATTATCTGCTTTCAGCCATAACCAAAACTGCCTGGTCTTGTCATCCATCATTAATGTTCAGAATCTACAGCCACAAGACGTAGTTGTGGCCATAAGATGAGATGGTGTCACGGGGTGGGATGGATGAACATATTGATGGAGGGTAAAGGTGGTTGATGGCTCTTAAGTGATGACAGCTCTGCAGAACCTCCATGGTCAGATGCTGTGGGGCTCTGAGTACCACCTAGTAGAGACATACGG